GAGGGGGGAGACACAGCTCCTATCTCCAGGGAAGACCTGTCTGATGGTTGAGACACAGCTCCTATCTCCAGGGAGCCCGTGTCTGATGGGGGAGACACAGCTCCTATCTCCAGGGAGCCCGTGTCTGATGGGGGAGACACAGCTTCTATCTCCAGGGAAGACCTGTCTGATGGGGGAGACACAGCTTCTATCTCCAGGGAAGACCTGTCTGATGGGGGAGACACAGCTCCCATCTCCGGGGAGATGCAGCTCCCATCTCCAGGGAGCCCCTTTCTGAGGGGGAGACACAGCGCCTGTCTCTATGGAGCCCCTGTCTGAGGGGTGAGACACAGCTCCCATCTCCAGGGAGCCCCTGTCTGATGGGGGAGACATAGCTCCTATCTCCAGGGAGCCCGTGTCTGATGGGGGAGACACAGCTCCTGTCTCCAGGGAGCCTGTGTCTGATGGGGGAGACACAGCTCCCATCTCCAGGGAGTCCCTGTCTGATGGGGGAGACACAGCTCCCATCTCCAGGGAAGACCTGTCTGATGGGGGAGACACAGCTCCCATCTCCAGGGAGCCCCTGTCTGAGGGGGGAGACACAGCTCCTATCTCCAGGGAGCCCCTGTCTGAGGGGGAGACACAGCTCCCATCTCCAGGGAGCCCCTGTCTGATGGGGGAGACACAGCTCCTATCTCCAGGGAGCCCCTGTCTGAGGGGGGAGACACAGCTCCTGTCTCTATGGAGCCTCTATCTGAGGAGGAGACACAGTTTATTCCTCTAGGGAGTTTATATCTGATGGGGGAGACAGTCCCCACCTGCAGTGCTCCGTCTGAGAAGGAAGAGCCTCCTCTCTTGTGGAGATAGTGAGGCCTCGCCCGTGGTCACTCACTTACCCACCACACAGTGGTAGCACGGGGGTAGGGGTAAACTAACATGCCCCCCCAATGGCATCCCTGCTCTGAAAGAGAGCCCCAAGAATCAGTGAGCAAGGCAGGGGCTGAGCCTGGGAAGAGATCAGGATCAGGAGGCAGGTGCATTCCCAGCAGAGGTAACAACAGTAGAAATGTATAAGGTGTATCTGGGAGCAACAGAAAGTTTGCTTGGAAATCAGCGCTCATGGAGAAAACAGTAGGAAGTCAGCTTGAATGGGTGGGTTAGGACCGAAGTCCGGAAGTCCCTGAGAACTGACACTGCAATTTGGACTTTATCCTTTCGGTAAGGGATCCTCAGTGGTTAAGTGTGGGAAAGGGGCAAGGGCCCTGGGACCAGCTCCGTGCTTCAGGAAACTAGTGCTGGGGCTTTGGGGTGGAGGGAGACAGTCAGACCTGCACAGCCTGGCCGGAGGCTCTGAAGAGCAGGTAAACAGCTGCGTGGGATGGAAGGGAGGGAGCAGGCATCAGAACGGGCAGAACGTCAAAGGCCAGACCTGGGTGCAGACGGCGGAAGAGGAGCATCCAGAAGGAGGTGGAGGTTTCAGGCGCTGGGGACCGGCGTGGGACCTCGGTGTTGGGGTGGGAGTCAGTCTGCAGGGAAGGCTGTGTGCTGGGTTTGCGCATTCTTAGTCAGTCAACAGGAGCTGAGCTGATAATCCAGCCTGGCAGCACCACAGACACCTGTCACGGGAAGAACAATGAGTGTAGCCTGGGAGGCAGTCAACCAGGAAGGCTTTCTGGAGGAGAGAAGGGTTGGGTCTGGTTTCTTCCTACAACATGATGATGGATGTGAGAGTTACTCTGACTAAGGGCTATTCATGACCCCCTGATCCGAGTCCCCCGTGTCCCTGATCCCACCCATCTGAGACCTGCCCCTGCCCTTGCTCTGTTTCTCTTTCCTCCTCCTCTCCCTGAGTCCCCAGGAATCTAATGCAGAAGCCCTTGGGGAGGGTCTCCTCTGCCTTCAGGATCTGCCAGAGCCCACTTTAGTGGGTTGTGTTTTCTGAGGGTTGGTCTGGGAACCAGTGTCTTTAGCTTACTGAGACAGAAACCATGGATTTTGAAAGAGTGATGGGAGGTGACCCATCACCTGTGCACGAGACTGCAGGGTAACTTAAGAAACTTGGTCTGTTTCCCTCCCTACCTGGGCCTTTGCGCCAAACGTGGTGGGTGGCCCCTGGAGCTGAGCCGGAGAGCTTTTTATCATCAGTCCGGCTCTGGGGCAGGATTTGCCCCCGCTGCTCCTCCAGGCCTGGCCTGCTGTCCCTCCCACACTTGCCATCAGCTTAGTTTCCCTTTCCAGACCCAGCTGGGCCCTCCCCTCCTCTGGAGACGTCTGCATCCCATTCTGTGAAAGCCTGCTTTTTGACAGCTAAAACGAACTCTCTCTTTCCCACACTGAAAGCTGATCAGGCCTCATGTTAGCTCCTTGAGCCGGACAGACTCCAGCTTAGCTTCTTCATTTTAGTTATTTTCCCATCATTCAGTTTGTAACCAGAGTAGGTAGCTGGGGCAGGCTGACACTGGGCACCTCCAGGAATGCATGTGTTGATAAGAGGCTGCGTTAAGTGGCACCAGGAGAGCCTGGGAATGCAGGTGCTGTCGAGCGCCCAGAGTCCCCATTACCTGTTAGTTGTATGTCTTCCATGACAGCTTTACCCCTGGCACCTGGCACTGTTTTATTTCTCATGTACCAGTTTATCTTTTAACTTTTTGCTTACTCTGCTTTTGTGAAAACTTTGCTTCAGCGAGGTTCCCCCTCTCCTTCAAAATTAGGGTATAAAAGGCCACCTAACTTTTCCTTAGGGGCCGAGAGAATTTTGGGCGTTGGCCGCCTGTCGGTTGCCGGCATAATAAAGGGTTCATAATTCAATCTCAGTGTGGCGCGTTCCTTGACTCGCTCGGGTACAACAATTCCCCTCTGCATTCTCTCCTGCGGAGGGGCAGCTTCTGCAGGGCTGCATTCGTTTTGCACTCTCCACTGAGACAGGACCTCAGTGTCTCCGTAAACGCTCAGCAGGTGTTTGGGGAAGGGATGAGTTGAGGACTGGGGACTGTAGAGCTGGAATGGACAACCTAGATCTGTGCTCCTTCCCGCCGGGCGGTGACTTTGTCTAAGGCATGAAGACCGTCATCTGGGTTACTCAGGCCCAGGGGAGGAACACCTGACTCAGCTGAGAAGGGCTGCGCTCCACAGGCATTGAGCATGAAGCGGGGCACCCAGCCCAAGCCCTCCCTGCGCCTCTCCTGCCCCCTTCTGGGGGTTTCTTCACCAGCTCTGCCTGCTCTGTCCTCATTTCCTTGGCCTCAGGGATGGGCCCGTCAGGTCTGTTGGGACACATGTAGGGAATGAGCCCTTTCCTGTAAACACAAGCTGGTTCCGTTCCCTCTGGGTTGCCCCACGTCCGCCAGGCTGCTTACAGCCTCTGCCTTTCCCCCGATGTGCTTACCCAAGTCCCGATACCTTTTTGCTGCAAGGTCTGTCTCCTGCTGTCCCCAAAACACCCAAGGCTGTCTGTCCAGGGGTGCTGTTTCTGGGGAGGGGGTGACATTTCACGATCTTGCTGGTCAGCCTGCACACGATGTGGGGAGGAGGTTACCGCTCAGGATTTTCTCACTGGACCTAGGGCAGGACCTGGAGTCACTCCCTGCACCTCAGTTTTCCCATCTGTCAATTAAGGATAATTATTCTTGTAATGTTCACATCACAAGGTTGCTGGGAATATCAAATGAGTCAGTGGATGCAAAATACTTTGCAAATATGATGTGCTGCTTTGAGGCAGGTGCTGTTATGCCAGGTCACCTAGGGTAGTGCTTGGTGAATGACAGGTACTAACTAAGGGCGGATCCTTGGTTGAAAACTTGTCACATCAGAAATGGCATTGTTTTCCTAGACAGAGTTTGATTCACCTTTTGTCAAGGAGGTTAGACTGCATTTGGGTGATGAATTTATACCCTGCCTTCTTGTAGAAATGATTTAAGATGGCTGAGTATGATAAAGAGAATTTCTGCCTCGGATACGGGAAAGGCCAAACTTAATTTTGTATTCATTTATTCCCTCAATAAGTATTAATTGAACACTTAGTAGGTGCCAGGCCCTAGGGCTGTGAAAAGAAATGTGATTTCTTTTCTAAATTGTCTCCTAGTCCCAAAGAAAAGAAAGACAATAAACAAATGAATCGTAACATAGCAGGGCCAATGCTGTGATGGGTAAGGATTTGGCTAGCATGGAGGAGAGAAGAATGAACTCCGAATTGATGGCATAAGGTCAGGGAGATCAGAGATGGACTTGGAGCAGATGGTGGTCCTGAGCCGGATGAGGAAGGATCAGGAGGACATTAAGGGGACAAAAGGCATTGCAGGCAGGAACAGGAAGTAAATGCTGCCACATCACATCATGAATCACTCAATCATTTAATGCGTGAAATTACTATGTCTCTCTGTGCGGCTCAGTTTCCTCATCTGCACAATGGGCATTATAATAGTACATGCATCGTTGGATTAGTGTGATCATTAAATGGATCCATGCAAATAAAGCACTTAGAGTAGTTCCCGCACATCGGAAATGCCCAGTGAGTCTTAACTAGTATTTTGCCATGATTTGTTCTGATCGGTGATTGTGGCTGCCGTTATTGTGTGTTCTGGGCACTGTGCTGGGTCCCCAAGTGTTCACATCCAGAGAGAGCTGCATTCATTTTGGAGGGTGAAAGGCTCCCTGCTGTGTTTATGCAATGGTTCAGGCCCTCGTGCAGTGTGGAGGGACGGCAAGCAGCTTCCACCTCTCAGGGCACGGTGCGTCCCCAGCTTCACAGAGCAGGAGAGCTGTGGAGGAGTGTGGGCAGCAGGGTAGGAATGGATATATAGCCCTTGGCAACAACACATGTCCCCACAAAGCATTCACCCACCCACCCAAAACAACAACAACAACAGTTTTGGTTTTTCATAATGAGAACAATAGTTTTCAGTACTAAAAGCCAGCAGCCAGGGCAAGTGTTCTCAACCCCTTTGCTGTCTTTGGACCCTTTCAAATTCTTGTAGAAGCCATGGAGGAATGTTCTCATTGAGTGCATGCACTCAAAATGATGCACTCAATTTCAATTCAATTTCAGGGATGTATTGCCTGACCATCAATGCAGGGGATTAGTGATCCCAAGAGTGGAGAGGGCATAGAGTTTCCCAGAAAAAGAGCCCCACTTCCTGCTTTTTCCTTCTGGGCACAACTGCCCAGCAAATGCCTTCCTCTTTCCACTTCTCCTACCTCCCCACCCCAAATTTTCATTCTGCACAGTGATTGCCACATTCACCTGGTTGAGAAACCAGAGACTGTAGCAACGCTGGCAGGGAGCAGCTGTCTCTGATGGCCTGAAGCTGTGGGCGCTGGCCAGCCTCACCGCTATAAAAGGAAGCTGCCACTCAGCCCTGCACGTCTGTTGTCAGCTGTCTTTCAGAAGACCTGGTAAGTGCGGCTGTCTGGATTGGCCCCACACTTTGGGCTTCTCTTGGGGAGGGTCAGGGAAGTGGAGCAGCCTTCCAGAGAGAGGAGAGAGGAAGCTCAGGGAGGTCTGGAACAAAGATACTTCCGGCGGTGGGGAGTGAGGCAGGGATAAGGAAGAAGGGTGTCCTCCAGCACCTTCCAGTGGGCAAGGGCACATGTGTCCTAGGCTGGACCTTTGTTGGGCAGAGGGTGGGGTGGTAAGGAAAGGTCGGTGTGTGTGCACATGGCTCTGTGTGAACAGACCCTTCCCCTTTCCACACCTGCATGCCTGTTCTCCACCCTTCCCATCACAGCCATAGCCATCTGCTAGTTGGGTTATTTGGAGAGAGGGCAGGACAAGGCTATCGCTTGGGGCATGAACACTCTGCGTTCTGCTCTGGGTAGATGCATACTCCCTGCCATGGGATTCCCCAGAGGGTTCTGTCTTTCAGGTGAGGCAAGTCTGTGGGCACCATGCTGACCGATCTGGAGAATGCCTTGAACTCCCTCATCGAAGTCTACCACAAGTACTCCCTGATAAAGGGGAATTACCACTCCATCTACAGGGACGATCTGAAGAAATTGCTGGAGACCGAGTGTCCTGCGTATATAAATGTGAGGAGAGGGGCTGGGTGTGGTGGGGACTCTCTGCCTGGTCCTGGGGGTGCCCTGGGCCCGTGGTCCTCCCTGCCGCCCTTCGTAGATGGCCCTGCCTTGGCTCTCTCTGAGATCTTTAAACTCTGGCTTCTTTCTCCTCAATCTTGACAGAAAAAGAGTGCAGAAGCCTGGTTCAACGAGTTGGATATCAACAGCGATAATGCAATTAACTTCCAGGAGTTCCTCATACTGGTGGTAAAGGTGGGCGTGGCAGCCCACAAAGAAAGCCACAAAGAGTAGCTGAGTTACTGGGTCCAGAGGCTGGGCCCCCGGACATGTACCTGCAGAATAATAAAGTCATCAATACCTCAAGCCTCTCTTGCTCATGCTTTTGTGGGATGAGGTTCCTCAGGGTGGAGGGAGGGTTGGAAAACTCAAAGGAAGAAAAATAAACCTATGTTATCTGCCTGCCCCCCAACAAGCCTTTCCTGCCTTACTCCTCATCTGGCTTCTGTCCCACACTCCCTTCCGGCCCCACTCTCTTGAGCCATGGATTTGAGGCTTAAGGATTCTAAAAAGTCCATGACACTGTAGCTGATTATTTTACTAGTAGCTCTGAAATGGGTTGGGGATTTGGGAACGGGGCGGTATAAGAAAAACTCATACTGTTCTCTAAGCTAAATTTTAGTTTCCAGCTAAATGTCTTAGATGTGGCTCTTAGAAAATTAGGGTGATAGCTACATAGAAGTGTGTGTGTGTGTGTGTGTGTGTGTGGAGAGAGAGAGAGAGAGAGAGATAGAGAGAGAGGGACAGGCTGATTCTGTGTGTGGTGTTGTGATGTAGGTGGACAATGTTTAGAGTTCTACATTAATAGGATAGTTCCCACACCTGACCCCACCCCTATAGTTTGTCCTTGGGGATTTTGAAAATTTTTCCTCCCTCTCTACTCCCAACCTCCCAACTCAATTAAATAATAAAGGAATGGGCAAATAGGAAAATAAATTAGTAAAACTTAAGTCAAAGAATAGGTTATTCAAATGTTACCCTGTGGGATTCTATGCTTTGGTGATCAGAGAATTATCTTAAAAAAAAAAAAACAAAAAACTTCCCAAGGGCCTGGAACAAGGGGAAGGCCAGAAGATGAATGGTTCTTCTCTGAGATGGGGATTAAAAGAAAGAAGAAAATGAAGGGGGACCTTTTGACAAGAACAGAACCCCAAACTGGATTTTCATGCTGTGGTGTGGGGAATTTTTTGTTGTCCTCACTTAGGTGCTGGGGCAATGGCATTAGTGATGCTTAAGAAGGTAGGAAGCTGTCAGTCACCAGAATCACTAAACCAGGGTTCTTAACTTGTCTGTCTATACATCTCTGAAATTGGATTGAAATTGATTGCATCATTTTGAGGGCATGCACTAAGTGAGAACATTCCTTCACGACTTCTATCAGAATCTCAAAAAGGCCCAAACACCTCAAAAAGGTTAAGAACACTTGTCCTGTTTACTAGTTTTTAGTAACAAAAGGCTAAGTATTTGTCTGTCTGTCTGTCTGTGTCTCTCTCTCTCTGTCTCTCTCTCTTTCTCTTTTGACACAGGGTCTTGCTCTGTCACCTGGACTAGAGTACCATGGCATGATCATGGCTCACTGCAGCCTCGAACACCTGGGCTCAAGCAGTCCTCCCACCTCAGCCTCTTTAGTAGCTGGGACTACAGGCATGAGGCACTGCACTTGGCTAATTTTTAATTTTTTTTTTTGGTAGAGGTTGGGACTTGCTATGTTACCCAGGCTAGTCTCAAACTCCTGGACTCAAGCGATCCTCCTACCTTGGCCTCCCAAAGTGCTAAGATTGTAACTGTGATCCACACCACGTCTGGCCAAAAGGTGGAGTATTTTTATGGCTATTGTTGTTTTGGGTGGGTGGTGGATGCTTTGTGGTGACATAGGTTGTTGCCAGGGGCTAAATCAATTCCTATCCTGCTGCCCACACTCCTCCACAGCCCTCCTGCTCTGTGAAGCTGGGGATACGCCCTGGCATGGAGGATGGAGGCTGCCTGGTGTCCCTCTGCACTGCACAAGGGCCCCAGCCACTGCCTAAACACAGTCGACAGTGGCTGAACAAAAGACCTTCTTTCAATGGAAAAGATTTTCCTGTTTATTTCACCACTTGGGAACCAGAACAATTTGGTTGGGTCCAGAACTCCCACTTTCTGCCCTCCCGCCTGGGGAATTCAGTCTAAATACAAATGCGCTGTAGAGGGGAGAAAAAACTACCAACACGTATGGCGGGGTATGGTGGATTGTGCGTGTGTGTGCGTGCGTGCGTGCGCACGTGTCAGGGTCGGAGTGCAACCTATCACAGTGCTTTTGATTCCCCTTGAAAGTGCACTGTTGGAGTTGCTGTCAATTGCTTCTTTGTGAGGAGAGTTACTAAATACAGCAGGGAGACTTCCACCCTCGCTGGCAAATTATTGTGCCTGGAACCCCAGGATCATGGGCCGAAGAGAGGACGCTAACTCTGGGGTAGTGGAGGGGAGGGATTATTTGGAGAAGCTAGACATGCTTCATGCCTAAGAGGAGGAGAGGAGGTGGCCAATTTCCTAGGATTTCAGGAGGAGCAAACCCTTTTCCCACACTCTAGCAAAATGCCACTCGATTAACTGGCTTCCAGTGCCGAAGTTTACACACTTCAGGTCACTGGGCTTCTTCCTGCAGTAGACCTTAATCATATAAAGTGCAGATGAACAGAGAAACGTTAACAGTTTAAGTCCTTATTCACCAATGTTTTAATTACCAAACAATTTTATTTGTTACCTAACATATTAGTGAAAATGGTTGGCAGCCAGCTGAACATTAAGGCTGGGATCTAAGATGGGGTGGGAAAATCTAGTCAGCAGAATACGGAGATGGGCTTCTGTGGGGTGAGGAGGAATTGCTTTCTTTTCAGTTTTGCCGAAGCATATCTATCCATCCCTCCAAGCCACTGCTTCTACTCAAGTCAGGAGTGTGGAATACAGTCCGCATTGCAGAAACAGAGGTTATGCAGCTCGGAGAGGCACCGCAGTGATGTTGCTGTAATTTTCTCCAACACATAGTCCAAAGGTGAGCAGCTGGACCAAACGTGGCCTAGGCAAAAAAAGGTGGGAAATGTTCCAGGGTTTACTAAGCCACGTTTCAGATCAACTCAACATTTAGGGGATCTCATGGGAGAAAAGATAGTAACAGGAGTATGCAAAAGGAGTGAGCACCCCGATTCTGCCTCTCGGCTATCCACATCGGCGGTGGTGGTGGTGATATGTGCGTGTGTGTGTCAAGGTGGTGTGGGGCAACCTATCCCAGTGCCTTTGACTCCCTTGAAAGTGCACTGTTGGACTTGCTGTCAATGCATTCTTGTGGAGAGAGTTACTATTCTCAGTTGTCTGCCTTTACTTGGGAGTCCAATAAGTCTGCTTCCTCTGAGCCCACCAGAAGGGGGAGGTGGCTTAGCCCTTTGGAGTTTCACCGTAAGCGATGGGCACTGGTTGTGAAGAATTGGGTCAACAGTTGATTCTTGAGTGCACAGCTGGGCAGGGTAGGTGGCCCAGCTGGCACTGGCCATCTGGAGAAGAGGAAAAGTGAGAGAGGCAGGCCTTGGAAGCTTTGTAGAGGACTCAGGCTTGGAGACAAGACTGTGCCCGCTACTGAAACCACTGACTGAGCAGAATCAGACAGGACCTGTGGCCCAGAGCAAGGGGATTTTGTTTCCTGTTTCCCCAGCTACAAAAGAAGAACAAGGGAGTGGGAAGTTTAGAAATAAGTAGGTTAGCAGGAAATCTCATGCAACGTTTGAGCCCACAAAGGAGAGCTTGGCTCACCAATTGAAGCAGATCCGGCCACTGGGTCCTGTAAGAATGACCTGTCTGAAATCTTGCTTCTCCTTCCAAGTTCTTCGCCCAAGGGTCCTGTGTTCCTAGTGGTTGTGACAAAAGTCTTGAAGAGCATGGAGAGGATCTGGACTTGGGCAATCAGTCTACAGTGGCTGAGCAAAATACCTTATTCCAATGGAAAAGATTTTCCTGTCGATCCCTCCGCTTGGGAACCAGAACAATTTTGACTGGGTCCAGAGCCCAGCCCATTTTCTGCTCTGCTGCCTGTGGGAATCCAGTCTTAATTCAAATGGGCTGAAGAGGGGAGGGAAAGCTGCCAACACTTACTGGGCTCCAGCTGGGTGTCAGTGTGAAAGAAAAAAAAAATCATCTCAAACCTGGAAAAAGGCAAAATGGTGACTGCTTATATTGTGACCTCATGCTAGAGTCTGTTGAGTAAAAGCACGTCCTCACTATTAGTCTTCATCTGACACTTAGGAGAAAAGTGTCAGCAAAGTAAGTTTGATAGCAATTCATAACAAATGAAGGACAGTTTGCCTCTGCTGGATGGGTCAGTATGGCTTTAGAGGCTGGTCAAAATGCGAACCCCAAAACTGTTAGGGTTTTTGTCACCCTATGAAAAGTCAAAAGACTTGTATCTAGTCTTGTGTCGAAATGAAGAATCTTAGGCATTACTTTCTAACAGTCTTTTATATTCTTAATATCCTTCAAACCGGTTCAAAAGTCTCCCCTGCTGGTTCTCTTTTTAATGAATTGACACTAAAATTTTGACACAGGCCCATGATTTTTTGTTAGTGATTTTGCTTTTTAGCTCAAGACATGGTGGTAACTTGTTCCTCATAACAACCCTAGGAGAGGGGTAATTACTATTTCCATTTTGTAGATGAGTAGACTCAGAAACTTGACAAAGCTTATGAATCTGGCAAGTGGCAGAGGTAGAATCAGATCTCTGCTGTCTCCAGGCAAGAGACCCTGATTAAAATATGAAGGTGCTTCTTTTAGCCATTTTCCACCCTGGGTGTGGATGGGCCAGCCCTTCCTTGCCTGCCTGCCTGGGCTCTTTCTCCTCAGCCCCTGTAGGGTCTCTGCTGTCCAGAGGGAGAAGTAGGGAGAGCAGGTACCAGATGAGCTTCTCTCTGGGGCCACTCTCCGCTGCCCAGGGCTATACCTGGCATGCCTCAGGGCCTGAAGGACTGGTAGTTCTTTCCTGGTGTGAGCAATCATCTGGGAAGGATAATTTCCCCACATAGAGAGGAAGAGGATTGATGTTTTGATTGTCCTAAGCTCTTAGGGGTTGTCCCAGTAACGATTCCGTCTTCTTCATGGGGTGGAGGAGCTTTCCTTCCAGTCTTAGGAGATTTGTAAATTCCCCTGTGATCTAAAACGTTGCTGAATCAGCCACCCATGTACTCAGAGCATTTGCATGCTGGAATAGTTCACCTGTGGCCTATTGCCAGTGCGACTGGGGTCCCAACAACCATTGGCAGTTCTGATTGGAGAGTGATGGCCTCGGTGCAGGTTACCTAGAAAATAGACATGCAGTCAGACAGATTTTCAACGTCATCAGTGCTATGGGAAAGTAGGCACATCATGCAACTTACTTTGCCAACTAACTCACGGCTAAATCAGACACGGGCTTCCTACATTTGAACTAGAGACTTTCACAATGACAGCTCCCTGACTGAAGTTACATGTGCTCCCCTGGCTAATATATTTCTTTGGGTGGTATACTGTAGAATGCCTGTTATCATCAGATAGAACATGCTGTTTTGGAATTTGGGGTCCTCAAGTGTTTGTGCAAAATGACACACTGAGCTGGAAGGGCTTCTGACATTGCAGGGTTGCCTGAGATACTCTGCCAGGAAGGCACTCTGACAGCTGATTCCATTTTCCTGCCTGTGTCCTCCTACCTGGCATAGGTGTACATGCCCTGGGAAAAATGGTACCCAACTTGTCACTGACTATGTCAGTGATAAGTAATGCTACCACCTGGGCTATTTAGGACCAATGAGACTCACTGAACTTGTTAGCTGAGCTAGTGATGAACACCTGAACAGCCCCTGATTGTCTGTTGGCAGAGCAGAGTGGCCTTCGGTTGTTGCCAACACCTCCTGCTGTACCCAAGTAAACACCTCAGATATTGTACAGACACAGGGGAGGGGATCCAGAGGCAGACCCAGCACATTGGTTTCAAACAGTGAGACCATCTGAAGGATCCTTCTTTGGCCTCTTTGTAAAAAAATTTTTTATTTTAGATTCAGGGTATACATGTGCAGGTTTGTTACGTGGGTATATTGCATGGTGACGAGGTTTGGGCTGCTAATGATCTCATTGGCCAAATAGTGAACCTAGAACCTGTTAGGTAGCTTTTCAGCCCCGGTGCCCTTCCTGCCCTCCCTCCTTTTGGAATCCCCAGTGTGTACCGCTCCCATCTTTATGTCTGTGTCTACTCAGGGTTTAGCTGTCATTTATAAGTGAGAACTTCTGGTATTTGGTTTTCTGTTTCTACATTAATTCACTTAGCATAATGGCCTCCAGCTGCATCAGTGTTGCTGCAAAGGACATAATTGTGTTCTTTTTTATAGCTGTGTAGTGCTGACATATATGACATATATGTACTACATTTTCTTTATCCAATCCACCATTGATAGGTACCTAGGTGGATTCCATTTCTTTGCTATTGTGAATAGTGCTTTGGTAAACATATGAGTGCAGATGTCTTTTCCTTTGTGTATATACTCAGTAATGGGATTGATGGGTTGAATGGCAATTCTATTTTTAGTTCTTTGAGAAGTCTCTAAACTGCTAAACTAATTTGCGTTTCTACAAACAGTGTATAATCATTCCCTTTTCTCTACAACCTTGCCAACATCTGTTATTTTTTGACTTTTAAATGATCGTTATCCTGACTGGTGTGAGATGATACTTGATTGTGGTTTTGATTCACATCTCTCTGATGATTAGTTTTTTCATATGTTTGTTGGCTACTTGTGTTTCTTTTTTGGAGAAATGTCTGTTCATGTCCTTTGCCCTCTTTTTAACGGGGTTATTTGTTTTCTTTTTGTTAAGTTGTTGGCATTTCCTGTAGATTTCCGGATATTAGCCCTTTGTCAAATGCGTAGTTTGTGAATATTTTCTCCCATTCTGTAGATTGTCTGTTTACTCTATTAGTTTCTTTCACTGTGTGGAAGCTTTTTAGTTTAATTAGGTCCTATATCAACTTTCATTTGTGTTTTATTGCTTTTGAGGACTTAATCATAAATTTTTTGCCTAGAACATGTCTAGAAGAGTAGTTCCAAGGATTTTTCCAAGATTTTATTAGTTTAAAGTCTTACATTTAAGTCTTTAATCCATCTTGAGTTAACTTTTGTATATGCTGAGAAGTAGGGGTCCAGTTTTTTCATTCTTCTGCATATGGTTAGTCAGTTTCCCCAGCACCGTTTATTGAATAGGGTTTCCTTTCCCTATTGTTTATTTTTACCAACTTTGTTCAAGATCAGTTGGTTGTAGGTATGTGGCTTTATTTCAGTGGTTTCTGTAGGTTTGTAGTTCTCCTTGTAGAGGTCTTTCACCTCGCTGGTTAGATGTTTTCTTAGGTTTTTAATTTTTTGTGTGTGGCTATTGTGAATGGAATTGCATCTTTGATTTGGTTTTCAGCTTGAATATTATTGGTATATAGAAATGCTACTGATTTTTGTATGTTTATTTTGTTTTCTGAGACTTTGCTGAAGTTGCTTATCAGGTCTAGGAGTCTTTTGGCAGAATCCTTAGAGTTTTCTGGACATAGAATCATACTGTCAGTGAAGAGAGGTCATTCGACTTCCTCTTTTCAAATTTGGGTGCATTTTATCTATTTCTCATGCCTAATTGCTCTGGCTGGGACTTTTAGAACTATGTTGAATAGGAATAGTGAGAGTAGGTATCCTTGTCTTGTTCCTGTTCTTAGGCAGAATGCACTCAACTTGTGCTTATCCAGTATGATGTCAACTGTGGGTTTGTCATAGATGGCTCTCATTATTTTGAGGTATGTTCCTTTGATGCCTAGTTTATTGAGAGCTTTTATCATGAAGAAACGTTCGATTTTTATGGAATGCCTTTTTTTTGCATCAATTGAGATGATCATATAGTTTTTGTTTTTAATTCTGTTTATGTGGTGAATCACATGTATTTATTTGCATATGTTGAACCATCCTTGCATCCCAGGAATGAAGCCCACTTAATTGGCAAATTAACTTTTTGACATGCTCCTGTATTTGATTTTCTAGTATTTTGTTGAAGATTTTTATGTTTATGCCCATCAGGGATATTGGTCTGTAGTTTTATTTTTTTTTTTGTTGGGCCTTTGCCAGATTTTGGTGTCATGATGATGCTGGTTTCATAGAATGAGTTAGGGAGGAGTTCCTTCTCAATTTTTTTGCAATAATTTCTTTAGGATTGATACCAGCTCTTCTTTGTAGATCTAGTAGAATTTGGCTATGAATCCATCTGATACAGGGTTGTTTTTTTGTTGATGTTGTCATTAGGTGTTTTATTACTGATTCAATTTCATTACTTCGTTATTGGTCTGTTCAGAAATTCTATTTCTTCTTGACTCAATCTTCTTGACTCAATCTTGTGTTTTCAGGAATGTATTCATTTCCTCTAGATTTTCCAGTTTGTATGCATACAGATGTTCATATCTCTGAGGATCTCTTGTAATTCTGTGGAATCAGTGGTAATGTCACCGTTGTCATTTCTGATTGTGCTTATTTTGATCTCTTAATCTAGCTAATGGTCTATCAATCTCGTGTATCTTTTCAAAAAAGCAAGTTTTCCTTTCACTGATCCTTTGTATGGCTTTCTGGGTCTCAATTCATTTAGTTCTGCTCTTATTTTAGTTACTTCTTTTCTTCTGCTAGCTCTGGGTTTAGTTTGTTCTTGTTTTTCTAATTCCTTTAGCTGTGAGGCTAGGTTGTTAATTTGAGATCTTTCTGTTAGTATCTTCTTGATATAGGCATTTGGCGTTATAAAATTCCCTATTGGGGGAATCAGAGAGCGAGGCCTGCGCGCGCACTAGCGAGCTGGCCGGGGCCGCAGAGGCCGAGGACACCGCAGCAGCGGCGCAGCGGGTGGGGCGAGGTGGTCCGTGCTCCTGGAAACGGGCGCGCACTCGCGCCCCTGCGCCCAGGGTGATGATGGTCGCGCCCTGGACGCGGTTCTACTCCAAAAGCTGCTGCCTATGCTGCCGTGTCTGCGTTGGCGCCATCCTGCTCGGTGTCTGGTACCTGATCATCAATGCTATGGTACTGTTGCTTTTACTGAGTGCCCTGGCTGATCCGGATCAGAATGACTTTCCAAGTTCTGAAGTGGGAGGTGACTTTGAGTTCACGGAGGATGCCACCATGTGCATTGCCATTGCGATTTCTCTTCTCATGATCCTGATATGTGCTATGACTACGGAGCATACAAGCAACACACAGCCTGGATCATCCCATTCTTCTGTTACAAGATCTTTGATTTTGCTCTGAACACCTTGGTTGCAATCACTGTGCTTGTTTATCTAAACTCCATTCAGGAATACATAGGACAACTGCCTCCTAATTTTCCCTGCAGAGGAAATGTCATGTTGGTGAATCCTACCTGTTTGGTCCTTATTATTCTTCTATTTATTAGCATTACCCTGACTTTTAAGGGTTACTTTGTTAGCTGTGTTTGGAACTGTTACCTTTACATCAGTGGCAGGAACTCCTCCGATGTCCTGGCTTATGTTACCAGCAATGACACTACAGTACTGCCACCCCCGTATGATGACGCCACTGTGAATGGTGCTGCCAAGGAACCTCCGCCCCGCTACGCGTCTGTCTAAGCCTTCGAGTGGGCGGAGCTGAGAGCAGCAGCTTGACTTTTCAGACATCTGAGCAATAGTTCTGTTATTTCACTTTTGAGGTGAGCTCTCTGAGCTTCTTTGTTGCTGAAATGCTAATTTTTAAAATTTAGATGTTAGGTTGAAACCTGTAGTTTTCAACATATGCTTTGCTAGAACACTGTGAGAGATTCGCTGTAGAATTCTTTCTGTAGGATTGAGGGAGTAATGGACTTCACTAACCTTCCCTAGGCACTGAAACTTCCCCCAAATCTAGATGGATCTAGAGTCAGAGGAGTCTGGCTTCGTACTTGTTGGGGCCCAAAGTTGGGCAGTCAGTCACACATTTTCTCTCTGTTCCCTCTCTTTTGAAAGTGTAACATAAAACCAAAAATAGACAACATTTTCTTAAACCATTCCAAAGTAGAGAACAAAACCTTATGAAAACAGGAATGTCAATTGTGTGATCATCATTCTAATTAAGTAAATAGAAGTCCTTATATATGTGTTACAAGAATTTCCACCATAACGTCCTTTATGACTTAAGTTCCATGACAGTTTGCGTTTGGTGGTAAAGGATTTTCTCCATGGCCTGAATTAAGACCATTAGAGAGCACCAGGCACTGGGAGCAGAAACCATCTGATGACTGTTCTTGTGCATCTCATGTCCAGGGACAGGGGGTGACGTGCCTTGTCTGTGTTAGAGGGTGGGATGGGTGTGTCTGGCACTGCATGGGATCTGGTGCTCCTCTTCTAGATCCACATCCCCACCCAGGGCCCACTTTTACTAAGTGTTCTGCCCTAGCCTGGTTCAAGGGGGTCATCCCATTGACTTGATCAAGTGGAATTGGGATATATTTATGATGTATTTGCCTAACAACATGGAAAAGGGTTTTCCTCCTTCTTTCCCTGCAAGGCACATCCTGCTGCTTTGCACTTCCAAGTATGCCTAGTCACCTTTTAAAATGTAGAAGTTTTCAGAAAAATGAGGATGGCTGTCCTTTCTGCACGTATTCTCTTGACTACCTGGATTGCAAGGGATTTTTATATATTCATATGTTCAAAAGATAGCAACTCTCCGGTTGGTTCATTATTGAATGTGCTGTAAATGAAGTCTTTTGCAATGAAAATGAGATTTGCCTACATCCAAGATGAAAAAAAATTTCCCTCCTAACACCACTTTTGGTACATTCCAGATGTTTTGATATGTTGTATCTCAGAATTTTTTGACTTCTGCCTTAATTTTGTTGTTTCTCCAAAAAGTCAGGTGCAAGTTGTTTAGTTTCCATTTACTTGTCTGGTTTTGAGATTTCCTCTTGGTGTTGATTTCTATTTTTATTCCACTGTGGTGCAAGATTTTTAGTATGATTTTGACTTTTTTGCATTTATTGAGATTTGCCGTCTGACTGGGCCTGTGGTTGATCTTAGAGTATGTTCCGTGTGCAGATGAAAATAATATATATTCTGTGGTAGTTGGGTGCATTGTTCTATAGATGTCTATTAGGTTTAATTGCCAAATGTCAAATTTCAGTCCACCTGTCTACTGATGTCAGTGGGGTGTTGTCCCCTGCTTTTATTGTGTGGCTGTCAAAATCTTTTCTTAGATCGAGAAGTACTTGTTTTATAAATCTGGATGCACAAATGTTGGGTGTGTATTCATTGAGGATAAATTTCCTTGTTAAATTGAACCGTTTAACAGTATGTAATGCCCTTCTTTATCCTTTTTTACTTTATTGGCTTAAAGTCTATTGGATCTGATTCAAGAATAGCCACCTCTGTTCCTTTTTGTTTTCCATTTGTTTGATAGATCTTTCTCCATCTCTTTACCTTGAACCTACAGGTGTCACTACATGGGAGACAGGTGTTTTGAAGACCGTAGAAGGATGGCTGTTGTTTTTATATCCAATTTGCCACTGTATGTGTTTTAAGTGCAGTGTTTAGGCCATTTACACTGGAGGTTAATATTTGTATGTGAGGCTGTGTCCCTGCTTCTTTAATTTCTTCAGCAACCTCTTTCCTGGATGGCTGGGATCCTGGGCTAGTCCCTTCTCCAGGCAGATGTAAAAAAAATAAATAAATCTGAGGACCCCAAACTTACTAAGCCAGTGGGAAAAGTCAAGCTGGGAACTGGGATGTGCAAACATGCCCCCCAGGTTGGTTTCTAAATAAGATAGCTGCAAAGATAAAAAGCCATATGCCACCCTCACAATTTGCCCACAAGGAAATTCCTTGTGAGCCTCAAGGCCCTCACCCTAAAACAGTTCTACTGAATTTCACCCTGGCGGTGTAACTGATAGCTTGTCTTTACAGGTGTGGAACAGAGGACAGAACATAAAGTCATCCCGCCGCTTACCCGAGACAAATCCATATCTGCTTGCTTCCTCTGCCCTATTTTTGTTTTCTTAAGTAAAAATGCAGATTCACTGAGCCAGACGAAGGCATAAGTGACTATTTTTATACTCCCCTCCTACATGAAAATTGTGTATTCAGTGAAAGATTGATCAAAGACTCAAAAGGATGCAATCACTTGTCTCTTATCTACTGGCACATTTAAAAAATATTTCTTCCTCTTTCCCCAATATCCACCCTTTCTCCTTGAATATTGAAGCCCTCAAATATTGAAGCCCTGAAATATTGAAGCCCTCAAAAATTATCTTTGGAGAAGGACATATACCTACCTCATGGGCACGCATCCTTAACTTTGCCCAAATAAACCTCCTAAAATGATTGAGACTGGCCTTGGTCATTTTCGTTGATTTACACAGGCCTGATCATCCTGCTGTGGTGGTGTCCTCCTGGGCCTAGTGAAACAAATACTGTCAATGGCTCAACAATGTTGATCTGGAGACAAACTTTTGCCTCCAGATCCAGGGAGGTCATTGGGCACATGAAATCAACTAGCTTTGCTAAGGGGGATATCTGGGTTGTGGGGTGGATGGCAGTACAGGTTCTGGCATGGCCTTGGCTGCCCAGCAATCTTACTGACCTCTGGGCATAAAACAAAGGCAGAGCGCTTTTAGATGTCCCCCAGCTTTGGTGTGACACGGGGAACGTACAGATGAGACTTCATCCGTCCTGGGCAGGTTTCTGAGTCTTGAAGGACCACCTCTCCATGAATCCTGAGCAGCGGTTGCCCCTTGCTGCCTCTCTGTGAGTAACAAAGTTGCTTTGCTGAAACTTGCATAGTGTTCTGTCTTACCCAGCTCACGACCTTGGTCAAGTAACCTAGGTGCAGTGAACTTGCTTCACACACAGGGATTATCCTACTGCAGCTTTCTAGGTCTTTGTAATGGCCAAGTTAGAAAATGTGATGGGAAAGCGAAGGGAAGGCGGAGCAGTGTTGCTCTCTCCTTTTTTGAAAACCTTGGAATCTTTTTTGAAAATGTATCCTCTGCTCCAGTAATGAGTTTTGCATCCCAGGATGACTTAGGAGGCGGTCTCCCTTTCTGTCTCCTTAGCTGCGTAAAGATCTTTAAGCTGATATTCCATTTGCCAAAACTGAGGAGCCCCATCTGTTAAAACAAGACACCCAGGAAGTAGAATTTGTTCTCCTAGTCTTTTATTAGGGAGCAGGGAGGTAGAGCTAAACCTGAAGGCTGGGCCCCAGCTCAGAGCTAAAAAATGTGCAGGGCACCCATGTTTGGGCGGGTGGGGTGAGGGGGATTTTGTTTCAGGCTGGGCAGGAGGGTAAGATTTGGACTGGGTACAGTCCGAGCTGCTTTTGTGGCAGCCAAAGCCACAAGTTTGAAGCTTCTCTTGAGCAACAGAGTACTTTACATAAATTGCCTCAAGATGAATCAGAGTAATTTCTTCACCCAAGGGTGAAGATGAAGCCTGGACTGATTATAAAAGCTTCCTTTGCTCAGTACCCTTCACTGCTGCCAGCTTCTTGCTGTAGCTCTGCATTCCTGTGCACTGAGGGGTAAGTGCCTTCTTCCTGGATGGGTTCTTAGGCGGTCCCCAGGGTCGTGACTGCAGGTGGCCACTTTGAAATCACAAGGTGTTGGAAGCCACAGCCCTCCACTTGCGTGAGCACCTCTGCGGTGACATTGCATTTTGGACCCAAGTAGGCCAGCTGTTGTTGTGCTAGGTACACTCAGCGCCATGACTTAAGAATGGCTAAGCGTGGGTGGGCTATGGACCATTTGTAAGGGACATGTGGCCATAGTGCCATCACCTGAGGGAAGCAAACAGCCTGGCCAATCACAGAACCCTTCCCAAGGGAGCTTGAATAAGCAATACCCTCCAATTTATGCTCCCTGGTGGATGAGGGTATGCAACATGGGCAACTGAGGCCGATTCTTTTAGACGTTAGACAGTATTATATGTTTTCTCTTCCTCATCCTATCTACAAATGAGAAGTTCACCCTGGATCAAACAGAGCAGAGAGACCACAAAATACATATGGAGGTTATTATGCTTTCTTTAGGCCCTTGATTCAGAAAGAGAGGGGAGAGTGGATCTTGAGGGGTGGGGGAGAAACTGTTGCTAGACCTCCCTTGTTTCCTTGAAGGATAACGTGAGGCTGGGAAGATGACTAAACTTGAGGAGCACCTGGAGGGAATCGTCAATATCTTCCACCAATACTCAGTTCGGACGGGGCATTTTGACACCCTCTCTAAGGGTGAGCTGAAGAAGCTGATGGCAAAGGAGCTTGTAAACCTCATCGAGGTAGGTGATGCCCCTCTCATTTTAAACTCCCCCCTCCCTCACCCCACTGCACTGAGGGGAGTGGCTAGGACTGGTGGAGGATGGTGGGACAAGGACTAGGGTGGGGTTGGCCCAGGTTTGAGTGCCCAAGGATGCTCTCCCCGCTGCTGTAGGAGAGGGCCTTTCCCTCTCTCAATAACTCACTTAAGGCTCTATTCAGTTTTCCCTCTCTCTGGGTCTGTGTCCTCATATGTAAAATGGAGAGAGGCAGGGCATGGCAGGGGCTGAATGAGTGAGCTGAAGAGTATCTTCCAGGTCAAGCCTTGTTAGATCCAGGGTAATTCATGACCATTGTATCTTCTGTTTTGTTATATTGGATTCTCCAACACAGTGTTGGCTAATGAGTTAATGTGTCTGGTTCTCCCTAACCTGAGCTCTGAGGGATAAGAGGCCTAAGAAAGGGTCTTGTGTGGAGGTTCTGAGCTCAAGGTCTCTGTTATCCTTTCCTCCTAGAATGCCAAAGATAAAGCTACAGTTGACGAAACATTCCAAGGCCTGGATGCTAATCAAGATGATCAGGTCGACTTCCAGGAATTCGTATCCCTGTTGGCCACTGTGCTGAAGGCTTCCCACGACAATACCCACAAAGAGTAGGGAGCTCTCTGAAGGTCTTTTACCCAGCAGTGTCCCCAACGAGGGTCTTTCCTTTCCCTCACCAAAACCCAGCCTTGCCGAGGGGAGTGAGAGTTAATAAATGTACTCATGAAAAGTTCTGACTAGTGTCTGCGCACGTTTTTCTTTCCATGCCTGTGGTTCCCAAACTTGATCACACCGTACCCCTATTCTTCTGGCAGCCTAATTTAGACCCCTTGGAACTCTTGCTCCATTTGTTCATTTGATCAACGATTATTTCATGTTTGAATGCCCACTATTAATTCATGTATTCATTCAACAAATGTTCACTGAACATCAGAGATTGGAGACACAAAATTCTTGTCCTCTTAGAGCTTGCATATTATTGGGGAGGGGATAGAAAATAAATGAATAGACAAGCAAATAAAAATATTCATGGCTTGTGCCTGTAGCTCCAATACTCAGGAGGTTGAGACAAGAGGATTGCTGGAGTCCAGGAGTTTGAGGCTATTGTGTGCTATGATTGCACTTGTGAAGAGCGATTGCATTTCAGCATATGATATAGCAAGAGCCTGTCCTTAAACATGCATATATGATATGATATGATCAGATTATATGATACAATAGTAGTTAATGGTAAGTTATATGAAGAAAACTAAAGTAGAGAAGTAGAGGTGGGGTGGAAGGGGAAGGAAGGTGATGTTGGTTTAGATGGGATGGTCAGGGTATAGATTTGAGCAGAAATCGGAAAGAAATGAAGAGGAGTGACTAGCAGATATCTAGAGGCCAAGAGTTCCTGGCAGTGAGTAGCCAAGGCTCTTGGTGGGCACATGCCTGACCTGCTCAAAGAGTAGCACAGAAGCCAGTGTACCTGGAGTAAGTGACAGAAACGGGGAGTGGTGGGAATATGGGCCTATGCGAATCAGGAGGCAGGCAACAGCAGCTTGTAGACCATGGGGAGGACCTTGGACTTTATTCTAAACGTGCTAAGGAGCCACTGGGGGGCTTTGACCAGGGGAGCGAGATGATTCCATTTATGCTTTGAAGGATGACTTTGGCTGCTTTTGTGGAGAACAGATTTTAGGGCTCAGGCAAGCAGGGAGGCTAAGAGATCAGCTGAGAAGAAATTCCCCAGGGCAACCCTATCCAAGAGAAATACAGTATGTGTAACCTAAGCTTCACTAGTAACCACATTTTAAAAAGTAAAAATAAAGGGAAAATTAATTTTAATAACATATTTTGTTAGCCTAATAGAACCAACGTATTATCACTTCAGCTATATAAAATTATTGTTGAGATCATTTACATTCTTTTATTTCATTGTAAGCCTTTGAAATCCATGTATTACAGTTCTAGTACACCTCATACATATGGCCATGTTTCAAATGCGCAGTGGTCATGTATAGCTCATGGCAACCATATTGGAACCTGAAGCCCTATATCATTTCAGAGATGGAGTGGGGCTGGACTAGGGCGGTGGTAATGGTGATGACAAGGGGTGGTCAGATTATGGATACATTTTGAAGGTGGAAATGGAAAAATCAAGGATTACTCCAAAGGTTTTCCCCTAAGACACTGAGGTGAATGCTAGGGATACAGAGGTAAAAGAACAAGTCCTTGCCTTAGATGCTCATCTCTGGTGGGGGAAGACCTGAATCAGGAGGAATCCCCAGGCCCTGTCATATATGTGCGGGCAGAAGTAAGCATAGGATGTTGTGGGAGAATAGAGAGCGACCCAGCTTTGGGGGTGGGCTGGGGCCAGCTAGGCTACCTGAAAGGGTGGACGCATGGTCATAAAATTTGGGGCAGAACTTTGAAAGGAGGGAACTGATGTAGAATTTGCATATCTGTGGGCATGGGATAGTAAAGAACACTCTCTTTGGTTTTCTTAAAGAAGGAAAGGGCTGGAAATGAGTCAGGAAGACCAAGGAGCAAGGGACCAGGGAGAAGAGTATTATGCCCTGCCCAGCAGAGTCAGGGAAGACTTCCCCGGCCAGACACTCCAGGCCAGCCCAGGCCAGGTTCTGTGTTCAACACTCCCCTGGGATCATGCTGCCCTCCTTTGGTGCTCTTGTCTTCTTTTGTGATTCTGGATCTGTGGCCATGACTATTTGTTTACCATCCATCTTCTCTGGTGGACTTGGTTGTTAAAAAGCAGGTGCTGAATCACTGTGCGTCACTAGCATGAGCGCAGTGCCTGGCAAGAGGCGGGTGTTTGCTATAGATTGAGTGTTTGTGTCCCCTGTGAGATTCATGTTGAAACTTAATCCTCAATGCAAGTATTATAAGTTGGGGTTTAGGAGGTAATTAGGACATGAGGGCTCCACCCTTTTGAATGGGTTGGTGCCTTATGAAAGGGCTTGAGGGGGCAAGTTTGCCCCTTCTAAACCCTCCACCATACGAAGACACAGCATTCCTCCCTCCAGAGGAAGCAGCAACAAGGCGCCATCTTGGAAGCTGAGAGCAGCCCTCATCAGGCACCTGAACATGCCAGTGCTTTGATCTTGGACTTCCCAGCCTCCAGAACTGTGAGAAATAAATTTTTATTGTTTACAAATTATCCATTCTGTGGTATTTTGTTATAGTGGCATGACCACATGACAATGTTTGATAAACATTTCTTAAATGAATAAATGTGTGGGAAGTAATAAGTCTGTAGGCTTGGCTCTCTGTAACTGGCCCAGGGAAAATAAGAAGCATGGCCTCAGGGACAGGTGTATGGGTCCTGGTAAGAAATGAAATTCAATGTGATTAGTGGAAGTCACTGGGAATCTTCCTGTCCTCCAACTTCTGACTCCTCCAACCAACCACTAAGTCAGGTCTGGCACTAATGGGAGCATGAAATCAGAAGTCAGCCACAGGCCCTGTTTAGTGGGACTGTCAAGATACACACAGAAGCAGCAGCAGGGGCACAGCCTTGGGCTCCGGTAGACCCTTCCATGGCTGCTCCCTCTGGATCTTCTTCAGTAGCGGGGGCAGGCCAGGCAGCAGAATTCAAGAAATAATTTTAGAAAGATTAGATACCCTGCTGGAGGTCAGGCATGACAGATGTGGGGAAAAGTGGGAAGGGGAGCCTTTTACTGCAGGGAGGGTGCGTTTGGCTTTTGTCTTATTTACCACAAAGCCATGCAGAGACAGTGTATGGGAAGCAGGGATTCAGGACAAGTGAGAAATGCTGAGTCCTGATCACACAGGCCTGGGGTGGAGGTTTGCTGACCACCACCTGCCATCAGAGGAAAGAACTGCATCTGCATCCGTGAGATGTGGGTCTGCGTTGAGAAAAGCTAAGGCAGGAAGGAACCGTGGAAAGTGCATGAGAAAGTAGGAGCCTGTGGATGGGGTTGAAGGGAGAGGCTGAAGATGGGAGTGAAGTAGGGTTGGCAGAAGAGGAAGGAGTGTGGGACGCAGGGAAGGGAGTCCTGGAATTGCCCAAGCCTGGAAGGCCTCCATCACCAAATGTGGATGAGAATGTGGGAACATTTGGGGAAAGCCCTCACTGCTTGACCTTGGGCAAATCACTTTGCCTTTCTGGGTCTTTGCTTTCTTTATTTTTGAAGAATTCAAAGGAATTTAAAAAATTTATTATGGAAAGTTTTAGACTAGGCGAATACTCAGGTGTCACCCGGTGTTAGTGCTCTGAGATACTTCAGTTGGATAGAGGGGAACTTTGTGTAGGGTCTAGAAGGAGAACATCACTTAGTGAGGGGGTAGGAAGGAGGATGTCCCTCAGTCGAGAATGTGAGGCCAGAAGTTATGCTTCTGTGTTCAAATCCTAGCATTGCCACTTACTAATTGTGAGATCTTGAACAAGTTACTTAGAATCTTTAAACCTCAATTTCCCCATCAGTAAAATGGAGATAAACATATCACCCCTCTCTCAAAGTTAGTGAGAGGATTAGATCATCTCGTAGCACACGGAAAGCACGTGGTACAGCATCCAATGCAGAGTGAGCACTCAACAAACATTAGCATAACAGTAAGATAATAATTTAGACAGGAGATAACAGCTGTAGCTGATCTACCCTCCGCCACAGCACAATAGGAATAGATTATTTTAAACCAAAGCAAAGATTGAGGTTTATGTTTAGCAGTGGCTTGGTTACTTAAAATTGACCAGTGTAAGATAAGGAACCAAGGGAAGTTATGCAATGTGACGTTGGTCATGTTGGGGTCACTACCCTGTGGGGATCTGTCCTGCAGACCCTGGCTCAGTGATGGATGAACAAATACACTTACAAAGTTCCAGTGCACCAGTGGGCTAGAGGGTGATGAGCTGCTCACAGAGAAAGCGATCGCAGCTACACAACACCTACTAGTTATCCTTCCTTGCTTTTATTCAGCATAGATTTAATAACAAATGCTTTGAGTAAACACACTCATGGATAATTGACATGGTTGGTTATGGTTAAATCTCAGGTGCTGAGGCCCAGAGCAAACACCATTAAGGGGTAATCTCCCTGGTTACCTCCCCGAGAGGCCCATCAGCTCAAAGGTTAATGGGTAAGCAAACTAGTTAGTATAGAGACAAAAGAATGCGGGGTAAACAGACTTAACTGGGGAAGCTTCGGTTGTCCCTAATATTTACCCTGTGACTTAATGCTCTAAGGTAAGAACCAGCCACCTTCAGTCTGTTCCATTATTACAAGTTATGAAAACCTTTTGGCATTCCAAAAGGTTTAAAACTATCCCCTTAAATTTTCCCTAATATTTCCCTAATATATCTGCCTTAATGTTTCTGCCACCACCCTGAGAGAATCCCAACATAGAAATATATTTCTCTAAAGGCCTTTGAACTAGATGAAGCTGTTCTGCAAACTGGGTCCCTCCCTTGATGCACTTACCTTGGTTTGGGACCACTTCTGATAAATGCAGCAGTATTAGAATCCTTAAAAAAAAACCAACAACTAACTGACGAGAACAAAAGCTCAGCATATTTCCTGTTGTGGGTACATTTACCAGCTTCAAAATAGCCCACTGAACCACAAATAGAACTTACATCACGGCTAGGAAAATTTTAAGGGCTGCTGACCTTGGTCAAAATCCATCAGTCAGTGGCACCTAAGGGCAATGACTAGGGCCTTGACTTGGAATCAGATGAGCTTGGTTAGACTCTCAGCTCAACTGCTTGGCTCTGTGAGTT